CGAATCCGGCGACTGTGAATCGGCCGATAGAAATAATAAATTATTGTTTTGCTACGATAATGGGCATTCCGGTTTGTAACGCGACAAACAAATCGAACGATCCAAATGACGGGAGGTTCGCACACGATATATCGATCGTTTCGTTTTATGTATTACGCGAAATTGCGCGTCGCCGTGCTAGTGACGTCGGAAAGTGCCACGCAAAGTGTCGCGCGATCGTAATCAACGCGGTCGCTTTTTCACAAATGTTGTGTTGAGTGAGTGCTACAAAAAAGCTGAGAGGAGGAGGATGTGCCTGGGAGGCATCGGGCGACGGCGGAGCAACCGTGGGGTAAGTAGTTTACTAATCGTCATTCCGAAGTTAATTATCTATTTCCGTTTAGTTGAATAAGAACTATAACGGCTAGCTTGTGAAATGTTATAAAAGTTTCTATTATTTTCTGTAATTTTACACGAAGTAGAATTTTTGTAATAGAAAAGAATTTTAGTAATACACTATAAAATAAATGCGGATAATATATTGTGCTCTTGGTATTTTTAATTGGTCTGAATGAGAGCGATAGATAAGTATAATAGAGGAAAGAGCCCTATTATGAGATAGCCTCCTAATGTGAGATAGCGGAGTTTCTGCTAAATTAATAGGCTATTTGTTGGTTCCACCATGAATTTATTGCCCCTGGAGTGGAATCTGTTTAGTGGAAAATCGATTGTTGGATCGTGTAATCGTTGCGAAAAAAGATGTGTGAATGAATTTGGACGTTGAAAACCTGCTATCTCTTATTAGAGTCCTATCTCATAATAGAGAACTTTCCTCTACGTTATGTTACGCATAAAATTTATTATTAGAACAGCAATTATTTTAATAAATAATTTATTCAAGTAAAGAATTCGATGTGTGCCGTAATTATTCGTTTGCAAAGCTAATTATTTTGGACGATGCTTTAACTTGGATATGTGTGTTTGAATGTTACAGATCACCGTGGTGACTACAACTCCGCTGCTGCGCATCGTGACCGGTGAGTGACAATTTTTAATTAATTAAAGGTGATGGATTTGTCAGAGCTTATTGTGTATAGAATTACGTCATATATAAGATACATATGCGTATAGCGAGTTAATAAAATAAAAAAGAGCACTGCAGATAAATGTGATAAAGAAATTTATTGCCTTAACACGAATGAGCTAGAACAGATTAGTTTTAATATTTAATCTTGAATCGCGTGCGCAATTTATTGTACAATGTGGTACGATATATCACGTGCTCTATACATGTATAAGAAAGTTTTTGGGAAGTTGACGACACCATGAAGATACATTAATTAGCATTAGTTTATTTAATTTCAGTATCAATTACAATTGGTTAAATCTGAATTTTTATTGCTTATGCACTGACAAAAATGATTTTTTTATTGAAGTAAATATTTATTTTATTTAAATAAAAATGTTAAATTTCAAGTAAATCTATGTATTATACTAAGTAAATTAATTTAAATCATTACATTTTCTAGATTCAAATAAAGATTTCATGATATAGAATATTATTTATTAAATGAAATAATTGTTTTTGTTAAATAAAAAATTCAAATTGCTACGCTGTAAAAATTACATCTTAGTAAATATTTCATGGAATTAATAAAATTTGTTTAAATTAAAAATTATCTATTCCTTGATATGTAATAAATACTTAAATTAAAGCAATGCATGTTTTAATTTGATTATTATTTCTTAAATTTAAGTTAATAAGCTATTAGGAGCCAAATAATGAATAATTTTCTTGAGTAAAGTAATATGTTTTGGATTAAGATATTTTTTATCAGTATGATAGTAAAAAAACCGTAAGAAATGTAATAATATTATACTTAAAATATTGATATATTCTTATAATCTAAAGCTACTTAAGTTTCTTCATGGTGTTCGAATTTCTCGTGAACGATGAGAAATGGACAGGATTTACATACGTATTCTATCATGTGAAATAAAAAGAAAACGACATCTATGAAAAGTAGGAAAATATGTTTAGCGAAATGCAATTATGAGCTTGAAATCGTGCATACTTTGCACGATTAGCCAATTTTAATAATTAAACAAAGTATCGTGATCTCGACATTTTCGTGGATTTCCGATTTTACTTAATCTTCAGACTTTGCTGTTAATTTCCGGAATTAACGTATCGTACAGTGGCTGTCGGACGATTTGTAGCAATATACAATTAAAACGATGAAAATTATATGTAGGGGGAATATTACGTACAATTAATAAAGACGGGATTCTCTTTCCTGCTTTCGTAAAAAAAAAAAGAGACGCGTGTTCGGTATTCCGGCAGCAAGTTTTGCTGGCAACAGGACATATTGGCGACACGGATCATTACAGCGAAGTAAACTTAAGCGCGATTATGCGGGCGGGCAAACGCACTGTACTTTCACCAATTACGGACGGCGACGAAAGTAATTTTTCGTGCTTCGCATTTGCACATAAAATTCTATTAAAGTATTACTCATCGACCACTTTCTTTCGGAGCGTTAACGCCGAATGCTAAATCATTTACCGTAGCGTTAGGAGAAATTACACTTCCGTTGGCGCAAGAGCCTCCGTGAAATCAAGCTTTTTTCCACCATTTTACATAAACATAATATATTTCAAAACGCGGAATATATATTTTATTTATTTTTAACGAATACATTTTTATTTTATTACGAATACAGCTAGCATTACGTTCTTCGATATGTAACGTCCTTTTTACTCGGCGCGATAAGAGCCTGATACGTTTGTGTAATGAAGAAAATACGGAAACTGTAACTTAACTAAGTATCGCGTTGTCGTTATTTAATATCGATATTTGCGCCTAATCTCTGGTCTCTCAAAGAAATAACGAGCGAATCAACCGCGGCCGGTGCCCGACGTTACGTAATCCAGAATGCGCGTTTCATTTCGCTACGCGATGAGCGAACAATAGCCGCGGAAGAAAAAGGATATTTTAAGACACACAAAGGACACACCAAAAAAACACTCGCGTGTAAGGCCGCGACGATTGCATCTCGTTCATTCACTCGGGGAGACGTCGCAGGTACACACAGAGACTTCCGCGGCCGCGCTTAAGCCTGTCACACAATAGGAAAGCACAGGCAATAGAAACGGGGAATAACACAGGCAACAGAAATAACTAAATTCCACCTTACCAGAAACCGTGTATCGACGAACAATGGAATATGGAATAGGCAATAGGAACAGAATTTCCGTCGCGTTGGATTTCTCTTCCCTATTCCCTGTGCCTGACCTACCTGACCAATCACAGTTGGGACTCTGGGACAGGCACGTGGTTTCAAACGGCAGATGATTGGACAGCACTCCTATTGCCAACGAATCATTGTGTCTTGGCATTGCATAGGCTGCTATTCCGCATTTCTATTCCTTATTCCTATCGCCCTGTGCTTTCCTATTGTGTGATAGGCTTTAGTGTCGGCGCGTAGGCACGTATGTACTATCTCCTACGCGCGTGCAAATTGCGTAGGTGTACGGCGCGTTGCGTTAATGACACGGTTGCAAATAAAGTGCCGCCCCTTCCGGTACTTTGTGGCGCCGTGCTCATTCTGCGCACTCTTAATTACTCGACGCGGCGTAACATTTTGTTCGTCGAGCCAGAAAACGTACGATATTGATACGCGAGTGCGTTTACGAGCTGCTTATCGCGCGTTTCACCTCTCGCATCCTCAATCCGGCGCTACTGTAAGCATACGACAAGCCCCGGACGTTACGAACGCATTTCCACAACTGCTCCTGCCACTGTAGTACAAGGCTGGATTCACACCCCGGCAGAAGAGCAGAAGCCAATCGGAACTCGCGCTGGTAGTAAACAGCACGCACTGCTGGCAGAAAGTAGTAACTTTCGATTACCAGCGGCGGTTCTGATTGGTTCCGATTAGATTTCTGCTTTCTGCTTTTCTGCCAAGGTGTGAATCCAGCCTTAAAAGAAGGTTTTTAAATGATTTATACCAATTTTATCAGGCCCGGTTGCTCAACGTCGCTTAACTTTAACCTTGGTTGTTAGTTCACTCTTTGTCTCTTTCTAAGAGAAACAGTTAGGAAGAGACGAAGAGCGAATTAAGCTACAGTTAAAATTTCGCGACGTTGGTGCAGCCAGGCCTAACTTGAATCCAGGTGCGAACTTAATTCAAAACGAAACACTTGACGTTATTACGACTTGGGCCCGATTTCACCAAACGTCGTTTAACTTTAATCTTAGTTTAATTCACGTTTGTCTCTTTCTAAAGTAACAGTGCAAAAGAGGCAAAGAACGAATAGAGCTAAGCTTGAAAGTTAAACAACGTTGGTGAAAGCGCCGGGCCTTAAGCTCTCAGCTTGGCTGGACTTTATAAACGTCAACTTGGTTAATCGCCACGACACTCAGTGGCAACGGATGCTCTTATCAAACTATAGCTTTATTTAAACACAACTTTAATCCGAGGTTTAGTCACTGTGACATTTACAGTCGTATCTCTCAAAAGAATGCGATAAGAGGCGATAAGCTTAATTAAACCTTGTGCGTTCGTGCGTGAATCAAATTCCATAAATTCGAATTCGAGTGGGTCGTATTCGTTCATTGTTTCACATACATAGGAATAATTAAAATATTAATTTTACATTAATAATATACGATATAAATTACTAATATAATATTTATGTTAATAATGCTTATAAAATCAATAACATATATTAATTATTCATCGTCATTATCGTGTCCCGTGCAAAGCGGCTCCAGCCTAACGCCCTCTTGATCCGGGGCCTGATAATGATTTATGACCATTAGCCCGGCCCTGAATAATTGCGTCTACCTTAATTGCGAGTGCATCTGCACAGGTGCACACCATTAACGCGCGCCATTGTACGCGCGCACGCGCGCGCACGAGCGTCTACCTTGCGCCGCGCGTATTATACATACGTACACTACCTGCCTACCTACCTGCGAATACCGAACTGTTGGCCAACCGCTCACCGGAGCGGGTAGACGCCATCTATAGCCCGCGACGTCGCGTCTCGGGCGTCTCGGCCGGCGCGAGGCAGTCGCGTCAGTCGGTGCTCAGCTGCCGTCGTGCGTACAACGTGTGGGCGTCGCTCGCGGGATCGATATCACCTACGAGAGGAGCAGTCGACGCGACTCGCGACGTGTCCCTTTAAATTGGAAAGCCGATCGCCCTGGGCTCTCCCTGCCCTACGAGGACGTTCTCCTGCACGCGCGTCTTCTCGCCGAGCTCGCCCGATCATCCCGACCGTGCAAACAGGTAGGCCTACGTAACTCTCGTGCCCCGTCGCCGTTGACGAGAAACGATTGCGTCTCCCATGCGTGAATTGTGACGCTTGACCTGAAATTGCTCCTCGCGCCGGGCAAGTTCCTGCGCGCATCTGCTTGTAATTTTCCTCGCCTCCTCTGGGCGTGTTAACTTGCTCCAGCCGTCGCGTGGGGTCTTTACTAAATATTATTTTCAAAATGAGGATCTCTCTTCGCATTCTAGCGAGCACGGAAGCTTGATTGAACAAAGAAAATATTTGAATGGTGGGCAATAATGGGGATTTGTATTTGAAGCTGTGTCGCAAGACTGACAAATTAGTCGGCGCGCAGTTCTAATTTCGATTTCAGTCACGACATTCGTGAAATAACGTTAGACTTTTAATTGCGATAAATATGATCGCGTGCCTCGCTGGCCGAATTGGCGAAACGCCTGCCTGGTGAGAGGCAGGTCCAGGTTCAAACCCTGGCTGAGGTAAAAATTTTTCGCAATAAATTTGAAAATAAAAAGATCATTTAGACACAAACATCCTGTCTTGGCTCTCGTATCCTTTGTTCCTTTGAATTGTGATTTCACGTCAGAGCCTTATGAATTTTCGAGCTTGATTGTTCTTACAGTCGCCAGTGGTAAAATTGAAATAAAAAAGAGCCTGTAGTCGACCAGACTGGCAAGATTAGAGTGGTTTATTTCACGACGTCTCGACCTAATCCCAGGCCCTTATCAAGTGACAATAGTTTAGATGCGTGAAAAGCGGTCGTGGTGAGAAAAACAAAATGAGCGCATAAGTTTGTACCGGCAATTCATGAGTCACGATATTTTTCGCCGTCAAAGAGTCGGGATATAAACCATTTTTATCTTGCCAGTCTGGTCGACTACGCGCTCTTTGTATTTGACTTATGAATTTTATTGTTGAAAATATTTAAACTCTCCGCGTAAAAGATATAATGATTCGTCTTTATATCGGAGTCTCCCAAGACTCTACGCGTCGACTCGTGTTGGGAAAAGTAGCGTAATGAAGGGTTGAACGGTGTAGAAACCTGTTAGGACACGCACGACAGCCGGGTCTTTCTAAAATAGTGAGTCGAACGTAGAATTGAGAAATGCGGACTTTTATGTTCTAAATCGCCGTTAATAGAGTATTCGTGTTTCACGCTGGGATTTCGTCAAATATTGCACTCGACGCGACTGCGGTCAGTAACATCTCGCGGTCAGCACGAACGTGTTGTCCGTCCTATCGATTTTTAGATAAAATCTCGGGCATATCGACCTGTGCCTCCGCAGGCGAACTTATTCCCCGTGCATGCACCGGGATTGCAGCTGCGCCGCACCAGCAATTTAAGTTACCTAACTTTGATTAGCTCCATTCCCCGCGTCCCTTTCTAGATTCAGCTCGCCCGCTCGACACACGCGGTGCGTATACACCCAGAAATAAGATTTATTTGGGTTAAACAAATGAGACATTGAAAGTGCGTTTCATTGAATCTGCATTTTTATTTACTTGCACTAAAACATTTGCTAGAGTTGAAGAGATAGATATAACAAATTAATAAAATTCGTATGGCTCAAATGTGATAGACACAAATTTGAAGAAATAAAGGACTAAAGGGCCCGTGACAGGGTGTTAGTGTCTAATTATTTTATTCTAAATTTATTCCAAATTTAGAAGACAATTTTTTAAATAATTTTTTAGAAATTTCAGTTTTAGTAAAAAAATTTTGGTGAAGATAAAGAAATTCCTTTGAAATTAAGTAAAAAGTCTAAGTGAGGTAAAAATTGAAAGAAAATGTGATTGATATCGAAGAAACTTTGTTCTGGGTGTCGAGGACAAAGAGGAGCGAAACTCAAATCGGAGCTGATTGCGGGGCGAGCTCGCGAGTCGCGCGAAACGCATTCTCTCGACGCTGAAAATATTTACATAGCTGGGTGACAGCGACGGCGATAAGTGATTAAGTAATTAAGAGAGACGGAAACGTCGGACGGTCGCAAGGAGGGCTCGGATCGCGACAATGATTTACACGAGATTAGCTCAGCGCGCACATTCGTTACCGCGAGGCTCGTTAGATAATTAAAGTATAATTAAAGCGAATAAGTTAAATTGCCATGTAATTAAAATTAGGTGGATCAGATTGCGCGCGAGATCTCGTCTCCCACGCGGAAACCCAATCCGTTCGCACAGAAAAGTCGAAACACCTGCGGAAACGTCGATCGAATTTATTCGCGGATCGACTCCAAGTAAATAAAATAAAGGCCGCTCGAGGAATTCACGAATGAAAGTTCGCCGGCGGAGGTCGAGATATATCTATACGTGAAACGTCTTAAAACCGACGGCCATGGCTTATATCCGCCGACACAGAAATACCTCGCTGTGTTATAGAATTTGCAATTTCCAAGGAAGCAAATGGTTCTTTTTTTTTCTGCCGTATACGAATCGGTGCTGTGTCAGACGGAAAGAATTCTGGCTTTGGTTTATTTGTCGAAAGAGGGAGATTCGCCGGCCGGAAAAATTATCCGCAAAAATGCGCCAGCGGTTTTAATTAAACAGTTTCTGGGCTACGAGTTAATAGCGTCTGCGTCTGCCGCTCCTCTCGGCGAATCTTTCTTGCGTTAACTTCGAAACTCGGACACCTCGCGTGCTAATTAAATAAAAAATTCTGCTGAAATGCAACTCGCTTGGGATTCAGCAGAAGCTTACGAAGATACACCGTTTCGCAATCTTTCTTATTGTCCCGTTCCGAACGCTGCGCCTCGGCGTTAAAACAAATGGCGTCTTCAATACAGTTTCTGATATTACGATGCGATTTACGCGCGACGTCGGGACACCCAGTATAGACTAAAATAAAAATAAGGTCGAGTACCGACCCTCTTTCAATTTGCCGAGCAATTGCTCGGTTTGCTCGCGCGTGATATCGGCCCTGAAATTATCAATTCTATCTCGCAGCCTCGGTATCTCCTTCGTATTACGCAATAGTCGTTACATCCAATATAACGTCTTTACGAGATAGCTCGTAATAAGGATGCTCATCGATCGATGATACTGCGATACTGCGACGGTATATACTCACGGTAATTGGTACGTCATGACACGAATATCGTTGCTGGAGTTGTTACGTAATCCCGTTAAAATCCGCGTGCACCGCAGGGCTGGCGATTAATCGTAACGTGTCGCAACGCTTTATTGTCCTTTCCTGCCGAAGATGATGTCCAGGCGAACTTCACGAGAGCGTAATTTTAACTCTTCGCTGCAGCACTTCGCTGACGTTACACACTTTTCTCCGAAGCGCTGAAGGGGGACGTCGTGAAGGAAGCAATTGTAGACGCTCGAAATAAATTGAATTTATTTTAACTCGTCACACTCGCAAAACTAGACATTGCGAGGGGTATTGATGAACTTCCACTCGAGTAGTTTCCCCGGAGGCTTCCACGTAGTAAAGATCATTCTTCGGTGATTGATGTAAAAATACATGGAGATATCGAGTTAAATTTATTTCCGAGATATATTCCTTGTTGTATTTTTATCTTTAAACTACGAAATATTTATGGGCTTTATCGAGAATAAGCGACAAGTTAAAACGGTAGATCCGTTATAGTCCTATTCCTTTTTCTTCTCGCTACCTTGATGAATTATGGTTAATTACCGAGAATTATCAAGTCCTCAAATACATTAGCGAGGATTAAAAGAACCGGTTTCTTTTTTTGGTCGAGTACCGTAACCTTGCCATCTAATTTCATTTGCCTCCGGACGCGGCGATATTATCAGCACGCTGCTGACTTGGAGCATTCCTGCCTCTTTCACTTTGCTGTGCCTGTAGTGCTTGCGCTCTTGCACAAATCCTAAATAAACAGTCGCTTGGTACTCTCAACGGGAAAATGTCAATAAGTGTAAAATACATGGTTGCAGCAACGGATCATCCGCGCGGCGATTAAGTGGCAGCGGAGTCCATCTGTCGCATATTAAACGTGCCGAACGAATTGATTAGTTTGTCTCCAGAAACGCCCGTCACGTCGTAAAATACTGTTTAATTAGCACTTGTCCATGGTGTCGTCGTTGCCTTCCTAGTATCTTGCACGTGGCCGCGTTATGTTCGTCACATGTTGGCAATTTTAAAACTTAGTCATACTAAATGTCGCTGACGACTCTATCGATGATCGCGATCGGCCACGTCGCGTAAAGTCGGAGCGTTTCGTCGCAGCGCGATGCAACCATACGCGATGGCGTTGACGAAAAAGCGCGTCATATGATCCTCACGTCCGCGACTTTTTCTCCGCGCGAGAGCTGCGAATCGCTGTACAGTGATGGACAGAATGGTTGCAACAATTTTTTTAATGAGTTTAGGAACGTGCATTTAGACTCATGGTTACGTTCCAAAACGTTTTCGTCGAGGAAACAATTTTACTCGAGAAATAGATCGGAAATGCTTGAAATGCTTTTGGAATCGAGTCAAATACTGTACAGACTCAGGTTTGCGTTCTAAAACATTTTTCTTAGAAAAATTTTACTCGCGAAATAGATCGCAAATGGTTTCGGAATCGAGTAAAATATTCCTCGGGGATTTTGAAACGTAACCTTGAGTCGAAATGCATATTTCTAAACTCATTTAAAAAAATGTGTTGTAACCATTCTGTCCATCACTGTACAGATTCAGGTTTGCGTTCTAAAATATTTTTTGCTGAGGAAAATTTTACTCGCGAAATAGATCGGAAATGGTTTCGGAATCGAGTAAAATATTCCATGGAGATTTTGAAACGCAACCTTGAGTCTGAATGCACGGTCCTAAACTTATTACAAGAAAGTGTTGCAACCATTCTGCCCATCACTGTACAGATTCTGGTTTGCGTTCCAAAACATTTTTTTCTGAGAAAAATTTTACTCGCGAAAGAGATCGAAAATGATTTCGGAATCGAGTAAAATATTCCTCGGAGATTTTGAAACGCAACCTCGAGTCTAAATGCACGTTCTCAAACTCATTACAAAAAAGTGTCGCAACCATTCTGTC